CTGGGGGGGGGACACATGACAGGATGGGACACGAGCATGGAGCAGCGGTGGAGGCCCGGGCATCGGGAAGCGTTGTCCCTCCCTAATTGCAGTAACGAACCCGTTCCTCTCCAGGCATCAACCTCGGGGCGGTTTTACCAACGTGAGCGCAGGAAACCTCGCAGCCTCAGTGAGGAGGAGGAGGAGGAAGAGGAGGAACCTGCTCCTGCCTGAGGACGGGGCCACAGAGGGGCTGTCGGGGGGTCCTGGCCACTGCCGTCCCCTCAGTCCCTTGGGAAACGCTGAACGGCTCCATCTGGAATATCCTGCGGTGATCCCGGTGCCGGGGGCTGCCCTGCTTTGGAGGTTCGTGCTCGGGGTTGGCCTGTGCTATTACTGCCGACGCATCCCTGCTGCTTCGGGTCTGGGGTCTCCACAAAGACCCCCCACCCTCTGCCAGCCCTCAGAGACCCTTCTGTTGCCACCGTCGCGACAGAGTGAAGCCTCTCCCTGGCTGCAAACCTGGGCCATTCCAAGTGTTTAATGTCCCCCTCCGCGTCACCAAACCCTCCAGTGCCTCTGTGGGACCGGGTGAGACGTGGCTGGGGTTTTGGTCACAGGTTTCGGTCACGGCGCAAGGATGCCAGATGCTGCTGCGGGGTCCTGCAGTGCTCCTGGGGGCAGGAGCCCACCCAAATGTTCAGGCAGGCTGTGCCTTTCGCTGCCTTCTCAAACTGGGGGGGAAAGGGGGGGATGACACCCACTGTGGGGTCCCCAGGGGGGCAGGAGAGGTGCTGGACCCCAAGGGGGCTTTGGGCAACCACGTTGGCAAACACATTGCTGCCAAAGCGTTCAGAAAACTGTTGCAATGCTGCAAAGTGCTGAGGTGGGGGCTGCATGAGGTGGGGGTGTGGGCCCAGGGGGGCTGTGCCTCCATTTTTGGGTGTAGAGAAGGGGCAGCTGGGGGGAAGGAGCTCCCAACCTGTTTGTGAGGGGCCACGGGGATGGCTTTGTCTGCAGGGAGAGGCAGGATCTGGCTCTGGGGTTGGCTCAGCCCTTGGTGGGCAGCGGCTCAACTTGACCAACACGCAGGGCTGGGGGGGGATGCGGACGCTGCGGGGTTTCACAGGGCTTCTAGAGGTGCTGGCGGGCCGCTCCCCCGGCACCTTGGGCAGGAGGAAAAGAGCAGCTCGGAAAAGCGATGGCTGAATGCTGGGATGGTGAGCGTGGCTGAGCCTGGCACACCGGGCGTCAAGGAGCTGCCGTGCCAGGAGCGCGCTGCCTCTGGCTCTCCGGGGCACAGCTCCAGGGTGGAGGGATGGGAGCAAAGGGATTGCAAGTGAAAAGAGCCGGGGCTGTGCCGGCTCCGGGGAAACGCGCTGTTCATGGAGCCCTCTGAGTTTCCTCGTTTCTCTCTGTGGTGCTGGGCTCCCTGGGGGTCTGTGCCTGCACCTGGTGCATGCTTGGATGCTGAACTTGAGCAGCGGTGGCGCCCAGCCTTTTGAATGAGTGGCTGCTCATGGACAGACCAAAGCCACAGCCCTGATCCCCCTCATCACTCTGTTTTACCACGGCCGTTGCCTGTCAGCCCCCCCTGCTCTGCTTGCTGTCACTTGTGCCACCAGCGGTGCTGGCAGCCAACACGGAATGTGCTTTCTGAGTGTAGACACAGGCTTGGATTAGCCCTGGAAGGTGCCTTAGGGAAAGCTCGCTGCAGAGCTCCGCGCCGTGCCCTTGCTGCGGGATCACGGCAACATCTGGGGGTGCTCAAAAACCAAACAGCCTTAGCCCCATGGAGATCTGGCCATGAACATGATGGGGCCCGTCCAGTGGTTTGCTGAAGAAATTGGATCACCTCCTGGGTTTCTTGGAGTGAGGTTTAGTGTCAAATTTACTTTAATAGTGACCTTTTTGTTTTAAAGGCAAATCTCCCTGCTGGGAAACTCGGATGCATGTTAGGGTCTGGTAGAACACCTGCGGTTGGTGCCACTAAAGGGCCCAGTCCCTCTCATTCTCCGGGCGTTTTGCCTCCTGGCGCAGCGTTCGGTGCAAAGGCTGTAACTCTCAGAAGAGGTGACATGAGAATTAGCTGTTGAAGCCGTCATGTGAGCTGAGAAGACACATTAATAGGAAGTCGGGGGCGCGGGAGGAAAGGAGAAGCAATGTCACAAGATGGAAAGGCTTCTTACTGTAAGACGTGTCATTAACATGCAAACGCGTGCTAATGAGAAGCTTGTGATTTGAATCTAAAAGCTGAGAGTGGGGAGGGGGTGACACCAGAGCTTTGCAGGGGCTGCTCTGGCCTTTCCCAGGGCCGTGCTGTGGCCTTGGCGTGAGTCCTGGATCCATTTTGGTGCCCGGCATCTAGTTGGAGCCAGGCTGGGATGCCGGTGTTTTGCCGTGTGGGCCTCTGTGGCAGCGATTGCTGGGTATTGGTGCTTGGTGTTGTCTCAGGAATTCACCGTCCGCTTCTCCTCTGGGTTTGCTTCCTGCTGGGATTTGCGGAATCACTGCCAACGGTGGCATCGCCTCTCATCTCCGCAGCCCCCCTCGCCTCCTGCTTTATCCTCAAAACAGGAGGTGTCACCAAATCTTCCCTCAGAGTCTCGAGAGCCCCTCTCCCTTTTTTTTTTTTTTTTTTTTTTTCGAAAGCGGCTCGCAGCTCAGCAGCCGGTGCGGCGCGGGCTGCGGAGGATGTCTGAATGCATAATACAACACCGGGGCGCTCAATAATTTATCTGTCACCCAGAAAAAGGCACATTTAAACACGCTCAGATCCAGCCCCTGCTCTTTCTGCTCTGAGCTTTCTCCTGCCTGAGGGAGCAGCCCCAGTCCAGGGGGGGCTCATCTGGGCTTAAAATATTTCTGCAAAACCCTGCTCTGTCCCACAGTGCTCTGGAGGTAAAGCCCTCGTCGCTGATTCTCCTCCAGAAGTTGGTTATTGCCAGTTGGTTTGGGATGGGCGTGCTTCTAAAGCAGTGCTAAACCTTACCGGGAAGGCTGGGTTTTAGCAATGGGTGGGTTTAGGCAGGCTGAGCTGCATGAGGGCTTGCACCGGCTGCCACGCTCTACCACGTCCCTGCTCTCTGCTGTGTCCCTGGCACTGCAGCACAGCCCCAGCGCTGCCTCGGTGTCGGGGGAGCGGGGACGGCGAGTCTCGCAGGGTGATTTTAAAGCGCTGTGAAAGTTGCGGGGGGCTGCCTAAGTGCAAAGTGGTGTTTGAGGGAAGGAGGCGGTGACACCCCGCCGTAGAGGAAGAGGCAGCCCGTGCATGAGGTGATGTATTATTCAGCACTCACAGATGTCTTTAACTTTTCTCAGTTTGAGATGGGCCCCTCGCTCGGAGCAGCGAAGGGCCGTGGTCGTTGTGGCTGATCTGAAGTGACAAGTCTTCCAGCTCCTTCCGAAGTGCCTCTGAGAGAGACTAACGGGGACTTGACAGGAGTCCAGCTTTGTTCCCTTTCCAGCCCTGGTGCTCCCCAGGGGCTGGGACGCAGAAGCCGCTGGCGCAGGGACCCAAAATTGCCCCAAATCAGGCTGTGCTCAGCTCTTGGAGTTGCTCCAGCATCCGGTGGGGCTCAGCAGCAGCCCTAGCTTCGCCTGCCCTGTGGATTGCCCCTTCCCACAGGTCTGGGCGCAGTCTTGGGGCTTTTTCCACCAGACATTGCATGGCCGCAGCCTCCTGGTTTTTACGAGTGGGATCTGCTGCGGACAAACCCCACTTGGATCCAGGAGGATGCAGAACCACTGGGGCAGTGGCTAAGACAGTAAAAAAATCTGGTTTTTTGGAGGCAAAATATCCTTGAGCAGGAGTGTTTTGCAGAGGAGGAGTTCGTCGCTGTGTATTTGCTGTGGGTGACGCGGAGGTGGCAGAGCCGGGGACTGACAGATCCCTGGCCTGACCTGTTTTGGCATCCTCTTTCCTTGTTTGTCTCCGGCGTGTGCTTAGTTGCACGGTCCATTAACATAGTGGCCTCCTTGTGCGGTGCTGACGGAAAGGAAAAAATTTTAATACAATGGTTGGCACAGGCTGCGTGAAAACAGCCCTCAGACCTCAACACCTCGCTCACGCTGGGGATGTGTGCCCGGCACTGCCAGCCGCCGTGGCCAGGACAGAGCAGCGCTTTCCCCCGCTGCCTTCCTGCTGCTCCGCTTGGCCGGAGTTGGGAGTAAAACCCAGCGTCCCGCTCCTGAAGCGAGCAGGCTCCTCTCTCAGCCATGCGGGATGGGATCCGACGGGATAGGATCTGATGGGACGACTGATTCCCGAGGTTTTGCGGTTTGCCTGGTGCAAAATGTTGAGCCCCTGGGAGCTTTGCATCTGTCCCTGCAGAGGCGGCTGCTGTAGCTCAGGGTGGCTGCGGGATCCTGGGGGCTGCTCCCTTTCGGATCACGGGCCTCCGCGGAAACACCCTGAGGCCCCTTTTCCTGCTGCCGTGGCAGACCCCCCGCCCCCCACACTCCCCTGAGCCTTCCACAGCCAATTCCTCCTCCCCTGCAGTGAGCAAGAGGGAAGGAGGGTCCCTGTCTGTGCTGGTGAATGTGGGGTGCGAGGGTGAGACGGGGCAACCCTAGGGTGAGCCCTGGGTGTCTTTGCTTCCGAGAGGGAGGCTCTTTGGCAGCCCAAAAGCCAGTATTAAGCCTTTTCCCTCAGGAATTGTATAAAACAGGCAGGATCTGATTTGGTAATAGGAATATTTGCCTTCGGGGGGGGAGAGGAGAAGGGGTATCCGGAGACCTGAGGCCTGAGGGTCCCCTTCATGTCCCCACAGGTGATGCACTGACTTGGCAGATGCTGCCCCAATTGACGTAGGACCCAAGTCGCTTGGGCCAAGGATGAGCAAGCCGACAGACCTGCAGCACGACCTGGAACGAAGCCTCCCAGCCATAGCGTCCATCAGCACCTCGTTCTCCCAGAGCCAGGGCTTCTCCCCGTATTGCTACTTCTCTCCAGAGAAGAGGAAAGCCATCTCGGACGTGAGGAGGACCTTCTGCCTCTTTGTCACCTTCGACCTGCTCTTCATCTCCCTGTTGTGGATAATCGAATTGAATGTAAGTTGGGGGAAGCAAATCTGAGGAGCCGTTGCCCTTTTAAGCTGTGCTTTTTAAATTCAGTTCCCTCCGTATTAATTGCTCGGTTTCAGAAGTCTTGGGCCAAGTCTTTGTTTGTTCTTCCCAGCGCTCTGCTGATTTGTGCTGGCTGAGAAACTGCTGTGCAGTTAGTGTAAGCTAAAGTCCAGTTCATTTCCTTCAACCGGCCTCTGTTGTGGCTGTCCAGGGTCATTAATGCCGTTGTGTGTAGCACCCCATGTTGTAGTGTAACAAGATCTGGGGCCCATGGAATCGCCAGGTTGAGCAGTTGGCCAAATTTCTCTCCTGTTCCCCTTGCTTTAAGTGAAGCTGCTTGCTGTGTTTGCCAAGCAGCTGCCAGCTTTGCTGCAGTGTCTTGTTCTCAGAACATCAGAGGAGCGAGGTAGGACGTGCAGACCCTCCTCTCGCCCACCCAGCTGTTGGGCAAAGACAAAAAGGGCTTTGAGCTTTGGTCCCAACGTACTGCTACTGATCTCCGCTGCTGAAAGCCAGAGGTGCTGCTGCACCGCGCCGGGGGCAGGCGAAGGGGACTGCGAGCGTTGGGGTCCTCTCCGCAGCGCTGTCACACCCGTGCAGGCTGCTGTGTTTGCTCAGTGTCTCAACTGTTGTAATGACCAAGGAAATCCAGTTTACTTAACTCAGTCTCATCAGGTTCGCATTACTCCCTGGGCTGTGTTTTATTTATTTTATTTTTCCTGAACTGGTCCTGACTGGTTTCGGCTGTGCTGGCGGCGGGTTTCAGGTACTACATGTCCTCCCATGGAACAACCTGAGCAGGGAGGCAAGATGAACAGATAGACCCCAGCGCTTCTGCGTGCAGCCCTGCCGGTGTCTGGCCTTTATTTATCAGCACTGGATCCTGGGCTCACTTAGCGGCTCTTATCTCTGCCCTGTTGATCTCCTGCAGTGTCTGCACTTAACAGATTGTCTTGGCCAGCAGCTCCCTTGTCCTGGCCAGGCAGTGTCGAGAGCCTGAAGAGACCCCTACCCCCCCTGACTAGGAAAAAGCATCTCTCAGCCAGCATTCCAGCGATGCCGATGGTGTCCTGCACGCCCGGCTTGGACCCCAGCCTCCTGCTCTTGTCCCTGTTCTCTGGGCTCTCTGGAGAGGTGCTGTCTACAAATCAAATTATCCAGCCCCGGGGATATAATCTGCCAGCATGGTCACCAGGGTGATTGCGAGCGTAGGTCTTGCAGGTAGCCATTAATGAGTGACTAACTGCTGATATTTGGGCCCTGAGCTGAGATGCTGCATATTTAAAGCTATTAGGACAGCTTATTTGCCTAGTTATGGAGAGCAACGATTTTATATCATGACTAATGCTTTTTTTATCAAGCGGTTTCCTTTGCTGCAAGATAAGCTGAGCAAATTGGCCCTCGTTAAACGTCTGTTGCCTGCAAACTTTCATTCGGCGAGCTTGCTGCTCTCTGAGACAGAGAGATGCCTCAGACAGTTCTTCTTCCTTGTTCGTGGCAGTGGCCTGTATTTAAACTGGAAACACCTCCCAGAAATCATCATCCAAAGCTTTCCCTGCCTCTCGTTCCTCCTGCAGCATCTCATAGCGGAGTCCCGGTGTGGGGAAGAGGCTTTCGGTGGCAGCTCCGCAGAGCTGCCTGGCGCGAATCCTGGAGCCACAGATCAGACAAAGCGATAGTGCAGAACTGCTTTGCCCCCCTCTCCCTGAATATTAAGCACCAGCCCTGACCTAGAGGGACCGCTTCCCGATGGCTGCCTCTTCTGTCCTTGGACTGTCTGACAAGAGGGTGCCAGGACACCAGGCTGCCAAGAACTGGCCTGAGATCCACCAACTTGTTTCTCACAGATCATCAAACAGCTGTCAGCCTATACCCGCGTCCAGGCCAGCTGGGCTGCGTTCAAACCAATAGCCTAAAGGTGAAGCATTTGTTCCAGTTACCTGAGCCATCCGCTTCCTCATAAACAGCGATTCCAGGCTCCCGAGAACAGGATTTATGGTATCAAAAGTACCAGGGCTGTCGGGTCCCAGATTGTCTTGGGGTGAGGCAAGGGAGCTCTTCTGTGAGCTTTTTCCACGCTCCCATACAATATCCCAGAAAGCGGTTTTGCCTCTTTCAGATTTCCTTGCAGTCTGTGTCTGTGCACGTCCCTCGTCCTCCTCTCCTCCCTCTTCCCCTTTGCCAGTACGTTTGAACCTGCTGGTTGACTTCCTCCGTCAGATTTCCTGGAGGGCAGCTCAGCGCTGCTGTGAGCCGTGGGAAGCCAGCTGGCCTGGAAGAAAGGAGAGGGGACCCCCTCGGTGCTTTGCACAACGAGGACGATCGCAGCTTAAATTCCACCAGGTTGCTGAGTGACCCCTGAGAGCCCTCGCAGGGGAGAGGTTTTGATTGCCCAGCTGTGGGAGATGCTTTGTTACGGAAGGTGCTAGGGAAGTGATTTCCTGTGGTTTTTCATTTATTTTTTTTTTTTTTTTTAAATCACGACTCCTCCCGTACAGCTGAAGTCTGTCACCTGAAGCCACACACGGCAGCAGTGGGCATGAGTGGGAGGTGTTGTCCAACCAAGGGCTGTAGGCTGAGAGGGTTGTGATCCGGTGGCGCTGGATGTGCTGAGCCGAAGGAGCGGCTTTTCAGTGTTGGAAAGCCCCCACATCGAAGTGTTTAATGTACCTGCCTGCTGCTCCAGCTCTGGCTACCCGACTCGCGCTCCTCGGTGTGAAACCGAGGGTGAAATGGGCTGTTATATCCTCCCGTGGTCCTGCGTTGGCAGATGAGCCTGCGTCGTGCGTGCGGCAGGCATTTGTATGCCTGATGCATAACCTGACCTGGCGGTAACCTCCGGTCACCGCTTGGCCGGGTTCTTTCTACCATTAGTTTCTTATCAGTGCACTCAATAGCTTTCTGGTTTCCTGTCTCCCCTTCAGACCAAGGATGGCATTCAGAAGAACTTGGAGAATGAAATCATCGAGTATAATTTTAAGACCTCTTTCTTTGATATATTTGTGAGTATCCCCGACTGCTGCAGCTGAGGAAACAGCTTTGGAGCTAGGGGTAGCGTGGCTGAAGGCTGGGCAGGGAGGGTCTGCATGCTGGGGGGTGGGGGGCGCTGGGGTCTCCCCGCAGCCTTGCCCCTCACCTGGCTCAGTGAAATTGGGCAGGTTGCAGCCCGTCCTGTCGTAGCCTTGACCCCATCTGTCCAGGCGGTGAGGTCCTCGGGAGCTGGCCTGTCTCTGTGTCCTCCCAGCACCTGGCAAAGGGACAAGGGCAGTGACCGGTGTTGATGGCTTTTTGTTTTTAAAGGTCTTGGCTTTCTTTCGGTTTTTTGTGTTGCTGCTGGCCTATGCGATCGTCAGGCTGCGCCACTGGTGGGTCATAGCGGTAAGAAGGCAATTTTTGCTTTCCTGTTTTGAGTTTTCTCTCTACGCCTGCAGTTCGCAGGGATCTGAGATACGTAAATTTATTTTTTCAGGTCACTACATTGGTATCCAGTGCCTTCCTGATTGTGAAGGTCATCCTCTCCGAGGTTGGTTTCCTTGGGCTCACAGGGGATTGCTTTGTGATTACTTGATGCTGCTGTTTTCCCGTTTGTGTAAACTCCCTGTGGTTTCTGCTTTCTTCCACACAGCTTCTAACCAAAGGGGCTTTCGGCTATTTACTTCCCATCGTCTCCTTTGTCATTGCTTGGCTAGAGACTTGGTTCCTGG